CTTTTGTAAAAATATTTGAACCGAAAGGGCATGATGTGAGAGATATAGTGGATTCTTACTAAAAATCATTAATTCATTAGTGTTAATTAAATGCTTCATTTTCAAAAATAAATGTTCACAGAGAGTTTCAGAATAAAAATGCTTTGATGTCAGCAACCTGTAAATTCCACATTATGTTTTCTGTACGTTAGCTTTTCAAAATGGAAGACAATGAGCGTGCGAATGGGAGGAGGGAGGGATGAGTTTGCTAACTGACATTCCTGCATTAAAGTGAAAATCTCTCTCTCTCTGTACATCTTAAGGTCTCTAAGGGAACTAGTTTCAGAATAGTTGCTGTTTCTAGCCCAGAGCGCCGACTGACATTATTAAAATATAATAGAACAGCAGTATCCCCTTCTCTTTATTCTTGCTAGCACAATGTGTTTTGAAAGTATAACACTAATGTGGCTAGCCTTTGTTTGAAAACAGCTCTTGAGTTATACATTTTAAAACTCAGTTTGATTTTCCATTTGTTGCATTCTCCCTAATTGTGGGGAAAAAATGTTCCAGTATATTTACTACACATATTTATTAGAACCTATCTCCCACGTTGTCTTGTCTCTGATTCTCTTCCAAGGTAGTCAGGCATCTGTCCTGACCTAGGCACCAGGGAGTCAAGATGAGTGACCCCAGCTACCGCCCTCCAGGTGCTCATTGCAGCATCTGCCTAGTGGGGCAACTCATGCATTTTCAGACTTGAGTCCATGCAAAAGAACCCAGTGCTGAAAATCACTTGTAATTACTTCTGGTGATGGGATGGCAGTCAATAATGAATTAAACAAAACCCAAAACAAGGCATGTCTGTTAAATGATACAAGTTAAAAGAAAAATCAACTTGAGAAGCACAATTTCAATGAAGGCTGCTTCATGCGTTACATTAGTAATTCTTGTTTATCAAGCCCAGCAGTATGTAAATGCTTTCTGTACATTTGATCATGAATCATTATAATTGTCCTGTACTTGGTAAGTACTTGGCCAGAAACACATAGCTGATAAAGGTAGTTAGATCCAGGACCATGGTCCATTCTGCCTAATATCTGAGGCCATGCTCTTAACAACCATTCAGTATGGAATAGAGCAGCTTTACAACTTCCCTGTTAAAGGGAAACAACACGTTCGGCCAAGTAAAGAGAAAAATTTACCAAGTCATAGCAGGGTATCTGTCATGTGCTATCTCCCTTAGCCATACGATTCCTGCTGCTGCAGTAATGTGCTGGCCTTCCTGGGGCAGGAAGGCACCCATCTAGGTGGGGATGTGAAAGTCTATGGCACTAAGAAAACTTGTCCTTCCCACTAAACCCATCTATGGCCTGAAGCAATTGGTCACCCCCGCCCCCAGTACCTCTTCAGTTTTATCTTCTAGGGCACTGGAATAATCATTTCTGCCTTTGGAGAGAGATTCATTCATTCAGCAATTCACTGTGCACCTAAAGTGTCAGGGACAGCTTCAGACACTGCAGACACAAAGGTAAAGGAGGCAGGCAGCATGGTCAGTGTGGCATCAGCATAAGGTGAGACATAAACATTAGCGGAGCAGCATAGAGTTTAGACATAGACTCACTGTGTTTGACAAGAAAGCAAAATAATCCATTGGAGAAAGGTTAGTCTTTTTCCAAATGGTGCTGAAACAACTAGATATCCATTTTGGGGGGAAATGAACCTCGATCCATACCTCATGCCATAGACAACAAGAATTGGAATGGATCAATGTAAAAAATATACCTGGGAAGGGACACAGGAACTTCTGGTAATGATGGAAATGTTCTAAATCTTTTATTATGGGAGTTACACATGGGTGTGTAAATTTGTCAAAACCCATTAAAATGTATGCCTAAGATGAGTATATATTTTGTTTGTAAATTAGACCACAGGAAAGTTGATTTTGAAAAAGAAATCATGATCTATTACTCCCTTGCTTAAAATTTTCCAATGTATGTTACATAAAATCCAAACTCCTTAATCTGCAAAGCCCTAAGTGATCTGGGTCTGTCTCCTTCTCTGACCCATCTTGTTAGCGCTCCGTTTACTTTTGATATTCCTTCTTCCTGGACTGCCCTTCTCCCAGGTTTAACCGTGGTTGATTCCTAAAGAGCACCAGCTCAGGGGCCACCTCCTCAGTGAAGTTCTCCCCAATTTCCTCAGTCATCACTTGAGTGCGTCATGGTGTGTTTTTCAAAGCATGCATCAATAGCTAAAATAATTTTTTTTTTAAGCTGTGCCACCCTGTCACCTGTTGGCAGCTCAACGGCAGCTCAACTCGGGCCAGGAATCAAACCAGCAACCCTGTTGCTCAGAGCTTGCACTCTTGAGCGAGCGATTAACCAACTGAGCCACTCAGCCGGCCCGCTAAAATTCTTATTTATTTATTTATTTATTTTATTTTATTTATTTATTTTTAACTGAGCCATCCTGCCACCTTTTGGCAGCTCAGCGGCAGCTCAGCTCGGGCCGGGCATCGAACCGCTGTTGCTCAGAGCTCAAATTCTTGAGTGAGCTCTTAACCAACTGATAAAATTCTTATTTACATGGTATTTATTGTTTCCTTTTCGCCATGAAAATATAATCTCCACATAACAGGAAGGATCTGTCTTCGTTACTCTCCTATCTTTGAACCCTAGAATAGTGCCTGCCTAATAGTAGATGTTGAATAATTATTTTTTGAGTGAGTAAAAAGGGTAAGGAATTCAGATTCTGTAATACAGACAGTGCAGGAATGCTGAAGGTGGCTAGGTAAAGAAATGGCACCATACAATTGGTGGTAGAATGGTTATAGGGATTGGATGGGGAACTGAAGAAAGCCCAAAGGCAGGCAGATCTTTAGAAGGCTACCACACCATTTCTGGTAAGAAGATAGGGAGACTTGAACTGAGGCTCGGTCAGAGGACATGGAAAGGATGGATCAATCCAAGCAACATTTAAGAGAGAGCATCAACAACACGTAGTTACTGCTGTTCTGAAGGTACGAGACCATTAGGCGAACTAAGGATTAATACCTGTGGAGATGGTGCTGTCCTGAACTGAAATAAGGGATCCAAGAAATGTAGCATGTTTAGAAGGTAAGATGACTTAAAAAGAGAAAAAAAGAAGAAGAAAGAGAAGATGAGCTTGGTTTGGGAATGTTAATTTTGAGTTACCTTGAGAACATTCTGGCAAAGATGGACAGTTAGTGATACCAGTCTGCAATGCAGGAAAAGAGTCAGGACTGAGGACACAGACTGGAGTTATTAGGTTGGAGGTGGTACTATAGGCATAGGAATGGAAGCTTAGGAAGAGCGGCGAGTAAACCAGGGCCTATGATGAAACTCAAGGGGTTAGCCAACTTTTAAGGACTGGGAAGAGGAACTAGTAACGAATAATGAGAGCACTTAGGAGGAGCAGAGTGTGGAAGCCATGGAGAGAGAGAGAGAGAAAGAGGGAGAAAGAATTACAAAAAAGTACAGTTAATAGTGGCAATTGCCACAGATATTTGGCAAGACAAAGACTGAAAACTTGGCAATTAGAAGTGACTAGTGACTTGAGCAAGAGCTGTTTCAATAAAGAGCAGGCAAAATACAGAAGGGAGTAATTTGAAGTAAATGGCAGGGGAGGACTTTAGGATAAAATGCAGAATTCTCTTTAAAAGGTGGGAAAGTGGGAATTTATGCCTGCAAGTCTGAGTAGGAGAAAGGTGTCTTTTGAGAAAAGTAGGAATACCACTAGGCCAAGGTCCTTGATTCAAAAGCTGTAAGGCGTCCACAGCATTGTGACAAGCAGATACTGAACCAACCAAGCCCCGAGAACCAGATTGCCAAATGTCGCCAAGGCCTGGCTAGGGTTGGAGGTGGTTCCTTTATTTTGGCAATAACATAAGTATATGATTCTCTCCAGTAGTCCTCCAGCCTCCTGGGTATAGGAGCCAGGACAAGGGAGTGGCTGGGTCACAAGTGTACACTGGCAGAGTCCTTGTGGCAGAGAACAAGGGAAAGATATGGGGGACTGTGGTCTACATGACTGGGTCCAGACTGAGACAGAATTAGAGCATGCAGGCGAGGGTGGCGAGGGAGACGGAGACTGAAAAAAACAGAAGGGTAGAAAGTCCAGGGCGTGGAGTAAGACATGTGGAGGAATGGTAGGGTGCAGTCAAAGATGGTTATTTAGAACTTCGGAATTCCTTGGAACTTTAGAATTTAGAATTTGAAGGAGATGAAAGGTCCAGAGTGTGGCCAGATGATTAGTGGATGAAATGGAGGCTAAAGATGCAGGTGAAGGTTAGCTCTCTGGACATGGACGTGCAGCCGCCCATAATGGCACCTCATACACACTGACGTTCCCCACTTCTGGGAGGCAGGTGATGATTGAAGCCAGGGAATTCAGCGAGTGATCAGGAGTCAGTAGATAACAATTACATGAAGAAGAGAGAGCTGGAGGGCACGAAGCTCAGAGAAGCATGGGCAGTTGTATGAAAGAGGGGAAAGGGTACCCTGGAAGTTGTGGTGCGGAGTTAGGAGAATGCCAGACTGATTCTGGTGGGCCGTTCCCAATGCTGGCAGAGCTGTGACCACTACAACAGACAGGAAGTCATGTTCGCTGGAAGATAAGAGGCTAAGGAACACCCCAGGTGAACAATCAGGTCATCCGTGATGAACACAGGTGGTGGGGTAGAAAGAGACTTGGTCGTGCTAAACGAAAGAAGCCTGAATCCGTTTTTGAACGTCCTGAAGCAATGTGATATAAATTTAACATAAGAAACATATATATTTGTACCTACTAAGAGCTATATGTTTCTGTAGCAAAACTAATGAAATTGTGTGTTATGATTTCTGTGAAAAATGTAATTTAACATTTGGAACGCATTCTGAATTTGTGTGTTGTTTAAAAATAACGCAGGTTTGTATTTTCGCTGGGTTTCTAACATTTTATAAACAATACTTTTTTAAAGTATGAATGCGAATATTTATGTCTGTACTTTTTTTTTCAAACAGGTTCTTAATCAAGAACCAGCTCTATGGATCCAGGACAGGTTTGTCCCATGGCCGGCTCTGAACAGCGCATTGTCCAATAGAAGACCCCACTGGCAAACCATCTCTGTTGCCTTACAGAGCAAGCAAAGGAGATGGATCGATTGAAGAGCCATCTGCCTGTGTGCTTTTTACCTTCTGTGCCCTTTTTAATTCTAGTATCCACTCTGGCGACTGCTAAGAGTGTGACTAACAGCACTTTAAATGGCACTGACGTGGTCTTGGGCTCTGTGCCCGTAATCGTTGCCAGGACTGACCATATCATAGTCAAGGAAGGGAACAGTGCCTTGATTAATTGTAGTGTTTATGGCATCCCCAATCCACAGTTCAAGTGGTATAATTCCATTGGCAAGCTACTGAAAGAAGACGAGGATGAGGCAAGAGGTAGGCTCTCACGTTGTGTCAAATGTCATAAAATATAAACACGGAATACGGAGGCAGCACCCTGAATGGTAGCTGTTCTTATTCAGGTTATTTGAAGATCTCCTGTTGTCTTTTTCTGAAGCAAGAGAGTGAAATCTATACCCTTCAGGATTCAAAGCAGTAATTCATTTTTTTTTTCACTCTGTCACTCAGAAGACAAAGGGCAAACATGAACGTCTTTTAAAAGGCCTCTTGGCATTTTGTAATTTAATGCATACAAATAGTACAGGGACGCATGTAAAACGGATTCTCCCTTCAGTTTATGTTCCATTTATAAAGGAGTTTTCTTTTGTTTCATGGAATTGGCTCAGAGAAACAGTATAGCAGTGATCCATCACTAAATGTCATTTTAATCCACGAATTGTGGATTTAAGGACCATGCTTCTTAAGAGAAGTCTCTGTGCAAGTTCTCAGCCATTACTAACTTGAGATCACTCTGTGCTCCTAGACATCCAACTGATGCTTCTTGGCTGTTGAGGCTGAGGCTAAGAGGGAGGGAGAAGGCAATAGCAAGAAATAAAATGTAGCAATAAGGGAATGCTTGGTTTTTAATGAATGAGGTTCTGGCCAAAAGTGTGAATCCCCGACCTAAGCATCTGAGCTTGTTTCAGGAAGAATTCCTGAGAGGACTGAGTGGGTCATTGGGACTCAGCACATCTCTTATTTTAGATGTGAGAAGTAATTGTCTGCAAACACAGCCCTGATCCACTTGACCTGAAGGAGTTAATGTTCTTTCCTAGCATTTACTGTGAGATGAAGTAGGGGGTTGGGAGCTGGGGAGTAAAAAGATCATTGTTCTGAAGTAGCAGCTTGTTAGTTTCTGCCCCTCTTTCCATTCCACAGCCCTTTCACCAGTGAACAATCCCCAGAAGAGCTTCTGCTCTAAGAAAACCTACATTTTTAATTTCTTTCCCTTGTTTTTTCTTAATTGCTCTGACAAAGAATAGCAGCTAATGCCTTATGTCTTCTTAGGAGCTGAGTGAATGGAGTTTTCTTGCAGTTACATAATTCTGGTTCACAGCTGTGCTCCCAATAGATAAGACTGCCAAAGTGTAATTCCCTGAGATCGGGGCCTCCCTGTCATGCTCACTTCCATTGCTGTTGGTCAGCCATTCAAGGAGGTACAGCGTAATAAAGCTTCTTCCCGTTAATGAAAATATTGTATATTATGTATCATATGTATGTTTGGCTGTTTAACCTAGAAGAGTGGAACTCTTTCCCTACCAAGTAAAATTATGGGACCGCAGAATTTTTCAATTAGAAGGGACCTTAGAAACAATGTAATCCAAATTCCTCTTTTACTCAATTTTCCCAAGGCCCTGCTGTTATTGTCTGTGACTAACAACCTTTAATACTGACAATGGAAGAATGAGACACCACACCTCTAGCCCACAATTGGATCCCATTCCTACAGTTCCTTCCTCCCAGACTACAAGTGAAGAGGAAGTGACATCATACTTGTAAAGGGGGGGGGCAGTAACCATGGTAACATATACACACTCAGGTCCCTGTAATTCATCAGGTCTTTCTGCAGGGCTGGGCCTCTGCAAGCACTATCCAGGTGACTGAATGAGGGGAGCAAGAACTCAGACCCGAATCTATCTTTCACATGGACCCTGGAACAAAGGTTATCCCTGGGTATTAAAGAGTTGGGGTTCAGGCACTAAATCCAGAGTCCTAAAGAGGGGAAAAAAACGTGGGAACACCATGGTATTAGGGCCTGAATTTAATCACGACATCGTGAGTGCTGTCTGGAAGCAGTAGTACCTTAATGCTTCAAAGAGATCATGTGATGTCTTCATTGAAAAGGTCCTTGTAACTATTGACTCAGTCTTAGCAAGCAAACTCTGTACCTTGCCTTCTTCATCTGTGCATTGGGAAATTGGACTAGATGGGAGTTATATTGGGCTCAATACTTTGTTTTGTGGGTGCTCAGGTGGTCTCTAGGAGCAGCCTGCCAGTGACCCCTGAACCAGTGATAGTCAGTGGAAAGCCTTTGGCACAGAGAGCTTCCCCATCAGAGCTCAGCACTGTCATCCTGTGTGTAGCCAGAAGCCTTGCTGATAAATCAGTTAGCTGTTTTTAAATCTCATAAGGAAGATGCACTGTAGACTTTTAAAAAGAACTCCTGACACTAGTACTTGATGTTCCAGCTCGGCTTTTGTAATTACAATGCATAATAATAGTCATTTCAGAACATATGCAACACGGGGTAATATACAAAACACAGTGCCTGACAACCAAGCAAGACCTAGGAAAATGTAGAAACGAGACTCTTTCTCATAAGCTATTAGAATTTTAGTCCTAGAATGGCCTATTAAAGGACCCATAGTCTTTAAGCCTATGACTGGATTATATATATTATAACACGGACATAGATTCAGTTTTCAGGATGATAGGCTAAAAGTTTAAATGGAGCAGTGTTTCATTTTTAACTCAACAAAGAGGTGATTGAATATAGTATGAAAAAGGATGCTAATGTCCTGGAACGTTGCTTAGATACAGTAGATTACTGTTACCACCACACTAACAAAATGAATGTAATTTTCATTAACAACCACTACCATTGATTAAGCCCCTGTACCAAGTTACATATATTATTTCTAATCCTTACATTAAGCATGACAGTTAGGTATTATTAATCCTCATGTTTCTAGATGAAAGCCCAGAGGAATGGAGAGGATAATATACAACCAGAGTACATCCAAGCTAGTATTTACTCTCCCTCTGGGCCCAACTGGCCTCCACTCATCCTTCAGGTCTCAGTAGGTGAAAAATGTTGGAGAGCATCTAACCCAGACTGAGTGAATGAAAGCAGCCCTCCAGGTGGAAAAGGCATTGTCACTACCATCACAGTCCGATAGTGTGAGGGTGTGGGCTGTAATGTGTGTACATGGTTGCACACACAAATGTATTCCAACTTATCTGGTGAGCTGCTCCAGACTCTTGCTTTGTGACTAGCCTGGAGAGGAACACTTGCTTGTGTATGCCGAAAGCATGAGACAGCTATTATTCATGCCAGCCCCACTGGTCCTACACAGAATGGCGCTATTTCCTGTCATTGGCCTGAGCTGCTATGCTTTCCTTCCCTGGTGCTTGTCATATCAGTTCTACAAGATCAGGAGAGGCCAATGTGTAATCTACTTCTGGAGACTTTTTTTTTTTTTTTGGTCGTTTACCCAAGGACCTGTTTGGGGTGGTGCACCAGTGATATTACAAAAATAGCTCAGAATTCAAATAACATGAATAACCACAAATGGCCACGAAATGTGCTGGTTTCAATTTTCCTTTTGCTAGAGTTGAGTAGAAATAGATAGTTGTCAGAAAGTACTATGAAAAAGTCCGGGTTATTTCAGGTACTAATTATCGAGTGTGTTTTTGCTGTGGCTTCTTACTCTGAGTTTGAATCATTTAAATGGACATTAGCACCTTTATCAGATGATAAATAACAAGCACTTCAAGAAAACCAGCTGGTGTAGGCCTTTGTCAACATGTCTGCCTTGTTAGCAATTGAACTTCAAATCTGCCTTAAAGTTAGGTTTTAGACTTTTCTGTGGATTTGTTGTCAGTACTCTTATAGCATTCTGTCACCAAAAATAATTACGCATTATCTTTGAAAAGAAATATACACACAGTAAACTGAGCGGAACTACAGCTATTATCACAGTTGCACAACTGCTACTCGAGCTCTGTGGAATTCATCATTATAAATTTTGCATTTAGTTTATATCACCTACTTGTTTTTATCTCTCTACTTTTCAGACATTTTTAATAGACTGTGAATTGCCTTTTTACTACTTCTGCAAGTGACAACAAACTGTACCAGCCACGTTTTAAGACTGTAGTGTATCACCTGCTTACTTCATATATATGGAAAGAGGTCAGTTTCCCCAGCATTAAATGTAAATTATCCGTGGCCTCTAAGATCAGCATGAAGTAGTATGTTAACTTACGAAAATATTATACTGATTCCTCTTTTAGCGCACTAAATATTTGAGATAAAAAAGCCAACTTATCAAAAACCATTAAGCAAAATATATGTAATTATGAAAATGTTATTGGAAATTCAGAAAACGCACATAATAGCCTTTCTTAGAGCAAGTTTCTTAACTTTTCTGAGCCACAGTTTTCCTATCTGTAAAATAGAGATAATTCTTTTTACTGCCAGGTGAGGTTGTGAGTCTTAAATAAACTATTGTGTATTAAATGCTTAGTATAGTACCTGGAACATACCAAGCCATCAACTAAGTGGCAACTGCTGTTATTGGTAATATTGTCCTACGAGTGTATTGTCACAATCCTAGATTCCAAGTGCATAAATCTCTCCTTTATAATATAGTGTCTTTTGTAAAGAAAGGAAATCATTTCCTGGGTAATTTCCTATTCTCTATCTCAATTTCTCAACTTTTTAAAAAACATTCAATGAACACACACACACACACACACACACACACACACTTTTTTTTAACGGGGGTCTATTTCCCCCCCGAGGACATTTGGCAGTCTGCAGACAGGAGGGGATGGGAGCGGGGAGAAGAGGGGAGAGTATGTCCTAACTGGAGGGAGGAGGCAATGGCAGGGGAGAGAGGATGCTATAGGCATCTCGCGGTTAGAAGCCAGGGATGCTGATAAACGTCCTGCAATGCATAGGACAGAGCCCTACAAAGAATTATCCAGTGCAGAATGTCAGCAGTGCTCCAGTTGGAAAACCGTAGTCTAATCCAAAGAAGCAGTCTTCAGCTAACTAAAGAATCATTTCACAGTAGATCTTTGAGTGAGTTGTTTGAACTCATAATGTATTTTCCCATAAAAGTGGTTTAATTTGTGGTACTTCGGTTTTCTAAATTGAGTCATATTCAGATCCAACCTGGCAGCTAACCACCATTTATAGTGTTTCCTTAATGTGGTGTGCTCCATCTGGGATGCAGCCCAGAATGCCTTAGTCTTAGCCATGAAAAGAC